CCAGCCAGACTTGATCTTATTTACATCCAATATCGTATCTTATTTACACCTAACTTCAAGAAGCATGAAGCAAGGCCCTACTTCTCTGATTATACAGAATTGGCCAAAGGGCCCCATGCTGATGCCCTTTCTTCCCAGAAATCAGCCTGTGTGCTGCCCTCAGCTCATTGCTTTGTGTTACTTGGCAACCTCACAACATACCCAAACTCACCACATTGAACAGCAGTCACTGTGCATCTGGGAGGCAACACATTGTGGCTGGACAATACTGCATAGTTGACCCCAAACATTCCCCTGTCCTGCCCTGCTTCTTCAGGGTCTTTGGTCTGGAGTAGGGGAAAGACTGGAGAATGGTCCTTGGTCAAGGTCCTTGTTTTAGGGGCTCAGGACCGGCAGAGGTCCCTGAAAGTCCCCTCAAGCATTTTCATTGGAAGTTCCCGTTCCTACTTTCTACTAAGCACCCCAGCCCCACCCCAGTCTACATAGGGAAAATCCACAGCAGCACTCAACCATTATTTTGAGTGAAAGGTCTTCATCCCCTTTGAATGACAATGGGTCCAGTTAAGAATTAATTCCACCCAGCCGGGATTGTGATGTGTGTTTGTTGTTCAGGTGAGGTCAGAGGTCTAGGGAAGGAAAAATCACTTCTAGCAAAGGTTTCACGGAGGAGATGGGCCTTGGGGAAGGGGAGTTGGATAGTCAGCAAGGAGGAGGAAGGCATTCCTGATTTGAGGGAGTGGGACACACATCGTATTGGTAAAGGCACAGAAGTAGGGTAGCAAAAGGCCTGGTCAGGGAACTGAGAGGCAGCATCTGCAGGGAGGAGAGGGAGGAGCCCCTCCCTTCCAGACACAGAACAGACCGGGGCTGTAGAGCGGCTAAATATTTCATTGATGGAAAATTGGATATGGCCGTGGTGCTTAGGATGTAGACTCTAATTTCACGGCTGGGTGTACCCAGATGGCTGATTAGGCTGCAGAAGAGAGGCTGCCTCCCCATTCCTGGTTTCCTGGCCACAGGAGGGTGCAGACACTGACCTTTTTTTCTCAGTGAGGTCAGCAGCCATACGTGTTCTGGGTCCGAGAAGATGAACAAGCCCCCCACCCCAGCCAAACCCCATTGCTTCACAGGCCCCAGACCCACCTCGGTTCCAGTTTTTCAGTGGACACACATTTCACACCTACTATATGTCAGCCATCATGGTGAGCACAAAGGAGATACAGATGTCTCTGCCCAGGGAGACAGCTTAGGGAAACGGACCCCCTAACAGGTCTCTAACTGTGGAGACCACAAATGAAGTGCTAGGTCTAAGCTCCACAGAGGAGGCGCCCCCTGTGCTGCTGCAGTCCCTGCAGAGAGGAAGGGAGGGCTGCTAACCAACACGCAGCACGGACTGACTTCTGGCTAGACACTGTGCTAGGAGCTAATTCTGTACTACAACCTTTAATCCTCACAGTCACTCCAAAAGGAGATACCATAACTGCTAATTGCATAAACTAATGGCTTTCCAGCAGGAACATGTGCAAAGAATACATGTGAAAGAACTTTGAACCATGAGGACCATTTAGCAGTTTGGAGAGGCTGGCACATTCAATGGAGGACCAGAGGGGGCTGGCAGGAAATAAACCTAGGAAGGTAGATAGACTGGGGCTTTGCATGTCAGGATGACACATTTGGACTTTATCCACTTAGCTTTGGGAGGCCTCTGAAGGATAGTGAAAAAGGTGGGGCCAAGTGTCCTCTTTCCCTCTTCCACCCCAGTGGGGTCTCTGGCTCTGGCCTCCAGATCGTAATAATGACCCATCATATCAACAAATATGGACTACACACCTTTACTGTGAGCCAGGTATCTTTCTGGGCACTGGGGAAACAGCAATCAACAGGAGAAGGGTCTCATCTCATGGAGCAATGGAGGAGGGAACAGTGGAGGGACACTGTCATCTAGTAAGCAAATACATAAATAAAAGGTAGTTTCCAGTAGTCATAGGTGCTCTGACAAAACAAAAACATAGCAATGGGACAGAGAGTGATGGGGGAGGGGAAGCTGCATGAGTAGGGACAAATGGGAAAACCCTCTTGGAAGAGATGACATTTGAGCTGGGACCTGAAAGGTGATGGGCCAGACAGGAACAGATATGAGGAAGAGCATTTTAGAAGGAGGCGCAGGTATTTGCAAAGACCTGAGGCAGGAACCAGTTGAGTGGGTTGGAGAAACATGAGGTTGAGTATGTTCGGAGTGAATGGGCTGGAGAGGGCGTGAAGGAGGATAGGAAGACTTACAGGCCAAGGTGAAGTTGGAATTTTATTGTTCAATACTCAGCTCAAGGCCAGGCACAGTGGCTCATGCCTGTAATCCTAGCACTTTGGGAGGCTGAGGTGGGCACCACAGTTTTCTTTCCTGGGGTTTGGGAGAAATACTCGGGGAACTTGGTGTCCGGGCATTTTCAGAGTTCTTGCTTGACAGAAGAGATAGTTCTCCAGCCTCCCATCTAGGCGGAAATGGTCATATTGGGGTGATCACCCTGGGAACAGCAGGGTAGGGTCCTTTTGGGGCTGGGGCTGGAGTACTGGAACTCAAAGAGCTTTCTGCTTCCCCCCCATACCAACTTAATCCTTTTTCTTCAAAGAGGAAGCCCCAACCGCATCAGGCACATATGTGCTTCTGAACAATATCCCCAGGGGTGAGAAGGATAGCCCCCCTGAGAGAGGACTCAGTACTGCTGGAGAGAGCCTGATACAGTGAGCAGAGAAGGGCTTTGGAATTAGGCCTTGGGTGTGTTTTTGCGGGTTATGATGGTCATTTACTTCTGTCAATTCTTCTTTCCTCTCCTCTCCATGGAGCTACAATTGGTAAGGATGTAGGGGTCTCAGGACAGGGAGTTGGGGGAGATAGTCAATTTCTCCCATTTCAAACGCTTTCCTGAAAGTAAGTTAAGTTCTTAGAGAACAATGTTCCATGCGATGACATTCCTGGGCCACAGAGGCTGCTCTTCCCCAACAGCCAGGCAAAGAGCCCTTAACATCAGACAAAGCCTGAGCTGATTCCAGAGGGAATAAGCAGTGAGAGGCACAGCATGGGACAGCCAGAGGGAGTAGTCCCAGGTCCCAGAGCTGGCAAGGAGGAAATGCCAGGGCCACACAGGACAGATGGCAGAAGTTTGGAGAACATTTTTAGGGACAGATTCCTTTCCCTTTACCCATGAGCCAAAGCAGAATTTCACCCTCTTGGCAGCCAACAGGGTCCCTCTTTCTCTGAACCAACCCCTCTGTTGCGGGGCCATCTCTAGGACATTCCTCCACGGGCAGGGAGAAGACATAGCTAAACCCTGGCCTGATGAGTCCTCAGAAAAACTAAGTCACCGCAAGTCGTCTCTTTCTGAGTCACAGAATCTTGAACCCTTTTAACATCTCTGCTGTTTTCCCCATCAGTGGTTAGATTGCTGTTTGTCCTGAGAATGAAATAGGAGTAGGTCGGGTGCTGGCAAGGTGGTTTCTCATGCCCTAGCCTCTGGACCATGGGAGCTGGAGAAACAAAGAGGGCCGAGGTATAGACCTAGAAAATCCAAGTACTGGCCTCCTTAAAAATGAGCTGGGGCCGGGAACAGTGGCTCACGCCTATAATCCCAGCACGTTGGGAGGCGGGCACAAGAGAATTGCTTGAGCCCGGGAGTTCGAGACCAGCATGGGCAACAAAACAAGACCTTGTCTGTATTAAAAAAAATAAATAAATAAGCCGAATATCAAGACTGGAGCAAATGGGCTAAGGTCTGCAGGGGATGGCAAGCAGGTCAGTCCTGGAAGGAGACTTGGGAAACGTGGCAGATGCTAGGCTAGGATTGCAGCAAGAGCCCAGCTTCATGACTGCACCAACCTGGAGGTAGGAGGGAGAGGGGGCTGATGAGGACGGGCCCTGGTTGGGCTGTAGTCCAGAGGCTGCGCTGGGACCTGAGCCAAAGGCAACACATGCTCCCGAAGTTCAGAGAAGGAGGCAATTTGTGTTGGGCTGGTTAGCGCCTTCCATCCCTCCAAAAAACCCGTGCTGGGCCTGATCTTATTGCAGTCGTTCTCTCTTGCTTCCGCCAGGGAGTCATGGAAACAATTTGGGGCGATAGCGAATAACTTTGTAGCCACCTCATTCACTTAGAGAACCTCCTTCCACTTTTCCATCCTCCTTTGGGCATTTCTTATACCCTAGCCTAGAAGTGACAAGAGAGGAGAGTGTTTTTCTGATTTCACAGAGCAGAGCATCACCCCTAGCCAAAGCTCAAGATGAGACAGAACTTGAGGCCACGTGTTTTAAAGAGTGCAAATTCATCCTCACAAATTTTTCAGATTCCATCTAAAGCATCCTTAGGCTGAATAATGAAGAATTCAGTTCTCATCCCCACCCCCTCTCTCTGCCTTTCTCCACACACACATACCCTCCCCCGCACCCATTTCAGAATCTTTTCTTTTTCTGCTGCAGTCTCCTCCTCCTCCTCCCTCACCTCCCTTCTCAGCAGGAGCACACCAGGACAAGAAAATGCTACTACAGGAGGCTCCCAGCCACAAGAACTGGTTTCTCAGAATGAGTAGTTAACGTAGACCTGGCCACAAAGTCATTGCCACGCTGAGCACATTTCTGTCTCACCATGTAACTCAAGAAATAATGCAATTGCATCTAGTGGACTTCACCCAAACTGTGCCCTGGGTTGCCCTGGGGAGCTGGTTCTGCTGCTTCAGGCTAACTCACTTATTGTGGCAGGAGGCTGCTGATATGGTCAGTTCCCAGGGATCAGCCGCTGGAGGTGGAGGTTAGGGTGGGGGGGCGGTGGGAGGGTGTTGGAAAGGGCACCTGTCAAACGTGGATTCATAAATGGGCTGCAGAGAGACTAGAAAGACTCTGAAGCTGAATGCACGAGTTTGTACGTGCATTTTTACTGGGGATGAGGATCAGTTTTTTTGTCTGATTCTCAAAGAAGTCAGAGACCCTCAAAATGGTTACTCGTTTTGGGTGGTAGGTAAAACAAGAAAATGAAATGTTTCTCTTTTCATTTTTGCTCCCCAGTGAGTTTGAGTTTTATGCAATTTCTTGTATAAGAGGAGAGCCTAAGTCCATGGAAGCTGGGATTGAACATCCTGAATATGCAGTTCCTTGGAGAGCCACCAAGAAAAGACCTAAGCAGGAGACATGATGTCACCTTCGGGGAGGAGGCTCTTCAGCTGTCTGGCATGGGAGGAGGAGGAATGAGGAGGATCACTGGCCTTGAACCCCCAAGGAGAGGCCAGAGCACCTTTCTGGGACTCAGCCCAGGGTTTGTATTAAACATCCAGCTCCAAAAGAGATGCTGTGCAGATTCAAGCTGCCAAGTCCTGAAGGCCCTGAGGGAGAACCCAATCCCAAGCAGCCCGGGTGGTATCTGGGTATCCTGTGCCCTGCCCATGGAGATCAGGAGCCTAAAGTCTAGAGCTCACTGCAGAACCAGACCAAAGACAGTCTAAGGTCCGCTGAGCCAAGCCTTCCTGACCTCCCGTGGAAAGGGGAAGAGAGAACAGGGCCTCCACTCATCCACCTACCAGTTCCTGGGTCCCTTTAGCCCTTGGCATGGTAATTAACGGTCAGGAAGTTATGCATCAGCCTCAGCAAGCTAACGTGGCAGGAGATCCCTCCTGACAGCAGAGCTAATAAGAAATTTGCTAATGCAATTTATCACTTTAAAAAGCCATATGTCGGTGGGGATGAGCACTTCTCTGCAGCAGCTAGTGTAATTGTCAGAGCAAAGCAGCGAGCAGCTCTCGGAAGGGGGTGAGGAGGATGATGTCTTCACTAAATCAGTGGTGCAATGCAGCAAGCGAGGGCGCTGGGAGGAGGGGTGTGGTGCTGGGTGGAGGGCTCCCAGCTCTCAAGCTCCCAGGAAGCCAGGTCTGCAGACCTGTTCGGGGGCCCCATTAAAAACCAGATGAGCCCTGAACTCCAGCCCCTGCTGCCTTTGAGCTGCATGAACCTACGCTTTGGTTCCTGCCACAGTGTTAAAACAAGAAGTGACTCTGTCTGCAGTAATGGCTGATGTAAGTCTCAGCCATTGAGTGTCAACACACAGGACCCGATTCCAGCTGGGGGCAGGGCTGATGCCATGTGCACATTTGCTCTTTCTCTCCCAGACCCCTGTGATAACTTCATCCAGGACAAGAGCCACTGGTCCTTAGTCAGAGGCAGGGAAAGATTAGAAATCCACCTCAGGCCCAACAACATCTCTGCTTCCAGTTTAGACAAATTGCCTTGAGTACCCAGTGTTTGCCAAAATAAAGAGTGGTTTCTGCAAAGGGGAAAAACTGCTGTTGTGGGATTTTGCTTCAAACACTCAATTGCAAACCATTTTTCCCAAAGCAAATTGATAGATAAGCAAGTAAGACAGGTGCCCCTTCTGGGAATGCAGTCCAGGGCTGCTGGGAAGGCTGTGGGAAGGAGTAAGAATATCCATATGGCTGGATCTCCACTGCTTTCTGGAGATAGTCCCCACTCTCAGTTATCTGTGAAATGAGAGGGACTGGAGAGAGGGATGAAGTAGGGTAAGCCACCACCAACACCCAGAGAAACATCACACCCAGTTTCCACCAATTAAACTTCCTTCTAAAGCAAATTTTGACCCTAATTGTTCTCTGTCCTTTAAATTAATGCTTTTTTTTTTTTTTTTTAAGACGGAGTTTCACTCTGTTGCCCAAGCTGGAGTGCAATGGTGCGATCTCAGCTCACTGCAACCTCCGCCTCTTGAGTAGCTGGGATTACAGGTGGCCACCCCACGCCCAGCTAATTTTTTGTATTTTTAGTAGAGACAGGGTTTCACAATCTTGGCCAGGCTGGTCTCAAACTCCTAACCTCAGGTAATCCACCTGCCTCAGCCTCCCAAAGTGCTGGGATTACAGGTGTGAGCCACCACGCCCAGCCTAAATTAATGCTTTGAATTTTGCATGGAGACACTGAAGGAAGACAAAGTACAAAGATCCAAGCAATAACCAATAGAAAGAAGAAATCCCATGCTAGGGCCTGGACAGCCCAACATGTATATTTAAGCTCCATGTTGCCTTCCTGTTTAAGACCTTCTGCTCAGCTCATACTGATGGAAATAGCATGGGTGGGCATGGGGGAAGTATAGCCTCATGACTCCCCAGCCTTCAGGGTGATGGGAGAGGACTGGCAACAGGAACTGGTATGATATTTTTAGTGAGTCTTAAACCTTGCAGGAACAGAGTTTTACAGCAACTCCCAAAGTCCCCTGTGAATTGAGGCCCACCTAGGGTGCCAGGAGCCCCTTTATGTGCCCTTTAAAATATGCTTTAATAGCTAAGGTTCTATCATTTAATATTTATTTATTTTTAAATTTTCCTGATCCTCCTTCCATGTCTATTTTTCCAAATACTTTTTTTTGTTTGTTGTTTCTCTTGAGACAGGTTCTTGCCCTGGCACCCAGGTTAGATCACGGCTTACTGCAGCCTCAACCTCCCAGGCTCAGGTGATCCTCCCACCTCAGCCTCCTGAGTAGCTGGTACTACAGGTCCCAGTATGTGGGACGTGCAACCACACTTGGCTAATTTTTTACTTTTTGTAGAAATGGGGTTTCACTGTGTTGCCCAAGTTGGTCTTAAATTCCTGGGCTCAAATGATCCAACTGCCTCGGCCTTCCAAAATGCTGGGATTACAGGCGCAAGCCACAGCTCCCAGTACCAAATCAATCTTAATACCATTTCTGCCAAGTTCAAAACAAAGATAATCCTGTTGATATTTGGCTGAGACCATACCAAATTAATAGACTAGTTTAGGGAAAATTTTTTTACCTTGTATGTGCGGCAAAATTTTTACCTCCACTCTCCTAGGGTTTTCAACGGGGCCTAAGAATTAAATCAACATAGGCCGGGCGCGGTGGCTCAAGCCTGTAATCCCAGCACTTTGGGAGGCCGAGACGGGCGGATCACGAGGTCAGGAGATCGAGACCATCCTGGCTAACACGGTGAAACCCCGTCTCTACTAAAAAATACAAAAAACTAGCCGGGCGAGGTGGCGGGCGCCTGTAGTCCCAGCTACTCGGGAGGCTGAGGCAGGAGAATGGTCTAAACCCGGGAGGCGGAGCTTGCAGTGAGCTGAGATCCAGCCACTGCACCCCAGCCTGGGCGACAGAGCAAGACTCTGTCTCAAAAAAAAAAAAAAAAAAAAGAATTAAATCAACATAAAACAGATTAATAGGAGGAAAGGAAACATATTTATTTAAATAAGTTTTACATGAGATGGGAGCCCTCATAAGGAAATAAAGACCCAAAGAAGCAGTTTAGAGTCAAACACTCATATACTGAGTCAGACAAAGAGTTTCACAAAGTAAACGATGGAAATGTGACAAGGCAAGGGGGCTTGGGCTGGGAAAGATGATCGTGAGGAGTGACCAGGAAGAGGAAGGTTAGTTTCCAAGGTCAGTTTGTACAGATCCCTCTCAGCCTCCTCTCCCTGTCCCTGGTGATAAGACTGTTGCTTTCTGACTGGTGTGGTGTCTCATGCCTGTAATCCTAGCACTCTGGGAGGCCGATGTGGGCGGATCTCTTGAGGCCAGGAGTTGGAGACCAGCCTCATCTGATGATAGGGAGACCCTCATCTCTATTTCTTGTTTAAATTTTTTTTAAAAAAAGAATGTTGCTTTCCTCCTGCTATAAAGAGGACATCTTCCTTATGGGGCTTTTGTTCTAGGTTTCAGAAAGAAAAAGGCGTGATCAGAGTGCCCTTCCAGTACCTGCTGGTTTTCATTTGCCTTTGGCTCAAAATAACCCTTATGCCAACGGGGCATATTTTGAGGTGGCATATTCTGCTACCCTTCAGCTTTTACAAAATTGAGTTTTTCTCTTCAGATTAGAATATGTTTTTTCATTTAAATAAAGTCTTGCTGTCCAAATACTTTTTAACACTCCATATTGACTCTGAATTACCTGCCTTCAAGGCTTATTTGGCAAAGAGACTATAGAATCTCATCCGCTAAGCAGGGAATGTGTTACCTCTTCCTTGGTTATCGGTGAGTTATATTTTTAAAGACAGCTGCCTACATGCCTTAACTTAAATCAAAAGGTACTGGGACAAATAGCCACCTTGGGGTGTCCTTGCCTTGACTGCCAACCTAGACTCTAGGTCCTGGGGCCTCGCTCATTCTCATTCCATACCACACACAGGAAGTCAATCTCATCTGTATTCCCAGCACTTTGGGAGGCCGAGGTGGGCAGAATCAACCTGAAATCTAAAAAAAAAAATGCCCTGGTCAGTGAATCAAGGACCAGGTCCTAGGCCAACACGGTGAAACCCCTCTCTATAAAAATAAAAAAATACCGCGGTCGTAAGCATACTGGCAGGAAATGGCGTAACCGAGGAGCTGGGAGCCGGTCGGCCGCCTGGCAAGTGACTCCTCAAAAAAAAAAAAAAAAAAAAAAAAAAAAAAAAATACAAAAATGAGCTGGGTAAGGTGGCGGGCGCCTGTAATCCCTGCTACTCAGGAGGCTGAGGCAGGAGAGTTGCTTGAACTGGGGAGGTGGAGGTTGCGATGAGCTGAGATCGCGCCACTGTACTCCAGCCTGGCGACAGAGTGAGACAACATCTCAAAAAACAAACAAACACACAAAACAACTTTGGTTAAATACATCTGTGGTCCTTTTCTCTCGTTAACCTGTTTTTTGTTATAGGAGCAGCAGCAATGAGCCTTGTGATGGGTGAGGGAAAGGTAACTTTTTCTCCCCTACAAAGATAGTTCCTGCCTTTAATTAAGGCATGTGGTTAGGGGCTAACCTGAGAAGGTGCTGGTGCTGAGGAAAACCTGCCTTGCCCCAGGTTCTCCGAATTATAGCCCCTCTCTCTTTTTTTTTTTGAGGCAGAGTCTTGCTCTGTTGCCCAGGCTGGAGTGCAGTGGAACGATCTCGGCTCACTGCAACCTCTGCCTCCTGGGTTCAAGCGATTCTCATGCTTCAGCCTCCCAAGTAGCTGGGACTATACAAGTTGTGTTCCACCATGCCCAGCTAATTTATGTCTTTTTAGTAGAGACAGGTTTCACCATGTTGCCTAGGCTGGTCTTGAACTCCTGGCCTCAAGTGATCCACCTGCCTAAGCCTCCCAAAGTGCTAGGATTACAGGTGAGAGCCTCCCACTCATGCTTTTCTCATGTAACCCCTCTGCAGGGCCGGCTTCATGGGTGGGTGAGCTCCAGCTTAGATGAGTCCTGCACTTGGTTTAATACTCTCCTGTTTAGCAGTTTCTGGAAAATAAGAAAAATAAAAAGCAATACTTAAAAAAAAA